TGAAAATTGTAACTTTGTACTTTTCCCAATCACGTTTTCAGTTTTAGATTTTAAGGTTATACATTTTGGGTTATAAATTTCAGGTTTTAATTGAATCTTCTACCTGAATTTCCTGCCTCCAGAGGAGCAGGATGTGCTTGGTTCTGTGATCCTGGAAATACTGTAGCTAATGTTTGTTCTGAAATTATCCATCCACCTCAACTTTTATTTGATGAATGTAGAATGTCCTAGAATGAACTGCTGAGGACTTTGCCTGGGACCAGTTTTGAGAAGTACCCTCAGAGCTCTAATACCTCCCTCAACATACATCCCACAGCCACTAAAAGCTTTGTAAAAGCTTATTCATCCCACAGGAGTTAAACCAGCATTTCCATCACCAGAAAAGCCAAAATCCTCACATGGGACTGAGCTACCACCACAACCCAATTTATTCTTTCTGGAACAAAGACAGAAGATCTGTAGGAAGGAGTGACTGGAAGGGTGGAGCCTAATGCTGACAGATCACCTGCTGGCTTGATTTTAACAGATTTCTATTTATCATCCTTGTGAAAGACCATCAGGGGGGAAGGGATGGTTTACCTTGGCTAAGGCATTGTAGGCAAGACCCAGGATCCCGTGCCATTTAACCCCTGGCAGGAAGAAGTTCTCTGACTCCAGGATGGTGGCAATGTTGATGGTGTAGCTGCCGTAGAGTCCTTTGGGCATGGTGATGACATCTGTGCCCAGCACTCCAGTCCAGCTGCCTTGGCTGTACTTCACTGTCACCTCAATCCCTTCAGATCTGTATGTGCTTGACCTTGAAAAGGAAAGGACACATTGATACACAGAGTGCTCACTTATAATGAAAGACAACAGAATATATTCCAACTCAATTTTGCTCAGAGAGGGAAAAAAAAGGGAAAATAAGTATGCAAAATATGTATTTATACTGCTCGTAAAATCAGGAAAAAGCAGAAATTAAAAAACCCCAAAACTCAAAGCCTGTTTTTTTATCCAGAAGCCATCAATAAATCAGATCTTCACAATGTGTTTTTTTTAAAAAAACCAAATAATATAATCTATGGTATTATGTCACCTAGTGCAGTGTCCCTGACTCAGACTGGTCCATAGGAGCAACACTCCTTTATCTGGAGAAAAAATGTATTAAATTGCACTAGGAAATGAAAGCTGCTGAATTCAAATCTAAAATTGAAATGCAAAGCTAACTGAATAGCTGTAGACTAATACCTCATTAATATTCCTAAAAGATCCTTTTTTGCTAAATTGGAATATTATTGTGAGTATCAGCAGTACGACAGAGGTTTCCTAAACCTGCAGTTTGACCTTTCTGAGGAAGTAAGTAGAATTTGATATCATCCACAAATGATTCACTGACTTGGAGGAGAAAAGGAACTATTTTTTTTCTAGACCAGGGAAGCAAAGGAGCAGTTGAGTATAGCAAACAAAAGAAGGAACTGAATCCTGTTTAAAAGGCTTTTTTAAAAAAAGTAAAAGCTTAAATAGATTTTTCATTTTAAAGACCTGTAATCCATAAGTATTGCTATCATATCCCACCAACACCTGTACTGAAGAGCTTCAGAAGTTCTAGATCCCTCACAATTTACTTTGGATCCTCTCCTTGGCACACAGCTTCCTCTTTTGGAGGGGCAGATGACTACACTCAGTTCCTCTCAAGAGACTTTTCACAGCTTTTTGGAAAGTAAATTAAGGGGGGGGAGGAGACAAAGCATAAAATAAATTTATAACAGTGTCTTTACATGTGTGTATGACAATAGAGAGGGCAAGGGTTTATCAGCTGCAGATACTTTGATCAATCCAGCCTTAATCTAACAGCCACATGACATGGCTTCACAGGCCCTGTGCCTGAGCTCACCAGCATGAATTTGGGTAATTTTCATTATTATGAGGAACAACCTTCGGATGGCAACATGGCCAAGTCCCATAATTCAAACACTTTCTCCTGAGGGACACTTTGGCCATATGGACCATGCAGCTGACTCTTCCATGGGAGGGAGGCCAGGCTCTAACTCTAAAGCAGTTCTTGACACCCTCAAGGCCTCACCCTTCAAGGGTTAACATCCAAGGCAGCAGAAATACGTGAGATAATATTTAAAAGCACAGGAGTTCTGGAGATACTGCTATTTCCTGCATCTGATCACTTCCACTGCTCCTGTGTAATTCTGCATTTGTATGACACTTACACAAAGGAACATCTCTGCTCAGGCAGGGTCTCCAGAGCACCTCTGTGACACTGGCAGGACATTTTATAAATCAAAATAGAGTCTGAATAATTAGCAGCATAATGGAAACTGGGGGACAGGAAACGAAAGGGAGAATACTTTTCTTCATGTAGGAAAGTGTCAGGCTGAGCAGCAGTAAACATCTGAAATCAGAGAGAAAATTGAGTGCTGGGAGAATAAAGTGAAAAAAATCTGCAGATACAAGCAGTGCATGACTAGAACAGCAGCACAGAACTCTTCTTCCAGGAGCAGGAAGAGCTGTGGACCAGGACACAGAAAGACTGGATTCATTTTCCAGCACAGCTGGTGACCTGTCCTGTGGAAAGTTAAGTCCCTTCCTCACCATTTGTGCCTCAGTTTCCCCACCTGTAGAAATGGATCTGAAGTCACTCATCTCATTTGCAAAGTTCACAAATGTCATATCGAGGAGGAGGAGACTTTATTAGTTCCTTCAAGGAGGAAAATTGGTAACATGGGAAGGGATCTTGCAGTAAATTGTTCTGTTCTGCAAAACCACTTCCCCATCCTCTTGCAGGTGATTAGACACTCTTGTTTTTTTCACCTTTCTACCTCACTGATCTAAAGGAAGAAAACTTTAGAGTTTAAAACTAGAGACTTGTAATTCATGGGCCGAGTGCTTTAAAACAAACACACAGCACAGAAAAGAAAATTACAAACAAGCTGTTTTGGCTGTGATGAGAAAAGAAGAAATTCACCTCTTCCAGCAGGACAAAGTATATCTTAGCCAGAGGCAAGGAATAAGGGCTCTGGTTATAATAATAATAATTCCTCTGGCAAGGAATAAGGGATCATGGTGCTGTAGTGATCCTACTCCCTTCTCCCTCTCCTTCCATTTCTATTTTCTCTCCAAAGCAGTCACCAGAACCCTGGTCCTCAAACCTCAAATGGATCTCGAGCCCCAGCTGAGCAAACCAGCAATGGGGTCATTTTCTCTTGCAGAGTTAATCCTCATTACCAGCACACAGCATAGGACAAAACACAACCAAAATCTTATTTTCTCATGTCACAATCCCTTTGCAGGCAAGCTCAACATGGCAATAGCAAACCCACCACATGTAACAGCGACCTCACCAAACAACTTTAAGACAAAGCAGACATGAAAATACAACAGAAATTATTGATTTCTAACCAAGAAGTCCCATCTAATCTGCAGGGCTTCCACAAAAAGTTTATCATTCACTCCAAACCACAACCTGTACAGTGCACACAACCAACCTCACAGGATCACACTGCAAAAGCACCAACACACGCTGCTTTATTTCTTTTGTTTGATGGTATAGAACTTGTTGTATTACTTCAATTTATTTTCTATATCTCTCTTACCTCCCTATCTCTTGGAAAGATCAACTCTTGAGCAGCTTGCTTTTGAAGCTTCAGATGGTGAGGCAGTAGTACTCCTTATTTATTTACTGAAATAAAACTGGATACTGTTCCTGAATACTGAAAGCCCTGAACATGTCAGATTTACATACTGCTGCAGAGCCACCACTGATCATTGGTTTCAAGTATAAAATTCCCTTTATATGTCTGTTTAAGTAGCTCTTTTATCATAAGTAGAGTACTCAACAAAACTACTTGTTATTTTCGACAGCAAGAGAAACAAACACCGTGATTTCTTTTCAGTTCAGGACAAATCAGGTAATTTTGCAAAACCTTATACATTGTGGTGACTTATAGAGCATGATTATCACAGCAAACTCAGAAGTTTTTACAGCAAAGGTTTGTCAGAGCCACTCAAAAGCCCAAGTTGTAAAAGAGTGCGTGGTAACAGCTTTACTCACGTTGTAAAGAAAGAGCCAGATAATTAAACAGCAGGATTATATCACATAGATTATATGATACACAACATCATTCAACAAGTTAGTTCTGGAATTGCTCCAGGAGGGCTCTTCCTGAAAAACACACTCTCTGGGTCCTTTGAAACAAAGATAATGCCTTCCCCATGCACCCCCCTCAGTTTCAGTCCAAAAAGAATCATGCATTCAATTTCTGATTTTGATCATCTGAATAAAATTAAACTAAGAGTGTGGCACCAGGAAATTAAGCCCCATCACTCTCTCCAACACAACATGAATATTCTAATAAGCACACATCTATAACTCATAACCCATGAATTTAACAAATTACTAATCTTTCTTTCCCCTTGTCTTCAACTTGCAGTTTAAAATGTCAGAAGCACTCCATGGCAATATAGGGAAAAACTGAAGGAGTGATTACCAGATGAGAGGAAATCCCTTTATCTAATCTTAAGTGTTCCTCCTAGGAAGGAAGAAAAGTGCCCATAGGTCGTTTTTCTCATTTACACGTGGGCAAAGGTTGCTTTTGGGTAATTTTACAGATCCAGCTGATGTGATATCAGTGCCCCTGTTTACCATCCCTGCAAAATTATGACAACCAAGTGTCCTGGTTTGTGCTGGGGGATAGAGTTAATTTTCTTCACAGCAGCTAACACAGGCTGTGTTTTGAATTTGTGCTGGAAACAGAGCTGAAATATAGAGATGTTTTTGTTATTGCTGAGCAGCTCTTGCACATAGCTGAGACCTTTTCTCCATCTCACCCCACCCCACCACTGCCAGGCTTGGTGTGCACGAGAATTTGGGAGGGGACACAGCCAGGTGACCCCGGCTGACCCCAGGGATATCCCACACCATGCTGCCATGCTCATATACAGCTGGGGGAAGAAGGGGGAAATGTTTGGGGTTTTGGTGGATGAGTGAGTGAGTGGCTGTGTGGGGCTGAGTTGCTATGGGATTTAAATCACAGTGCCAAGGAAAATGTTCTGATTGCTGGGAAAAGTCTATCCTAAGGCCAGTCTCAAAAAGAGACAAGCAACAGCACCCAAGGAAGTAGAGGTGACTGGGCTTTACCTCCAGTCAGGAAAAGTCTCAAATAAAACCTCCTGGAATCTGTTTCCAAGCACGTGAAGGACAATCATGCAGTCACAGACACAACGAGGAATTTCACAGGCACACCACAGCTGACCAACCTCACTGCCTCCTACATCGAGACTGGAGGCACAGATGAGGAGAACAGTGGCTGTAGCACATCTTGGCTTCAGCCAGGCTTTGGACACCACCTGCCATGGCATTCCTGTTTGGAAGCTGAGCATGTGGGGCTGAACAAACCAGCTATGGTGTGGGCTGAAGATGGGCTGCAGCTCTGGGTCCAAAGGAGCCATTGACTCGTGATGAGCAGAGCAGAGCCCCAGGGCTTTTGAGTGGAAGAAAAACTCCACAGCCTGGAGAAAAGGAGGCTCAGGAGAGACTTTCTCACTCTTTACAAGCCCCTGGCAGGAGGGTGCAGCCAGGTGAGGGTCAGGCTCTTCTCCCTTGCAACAGCAACAGGACGAGAGCACACAGCACCAAACTGTTCTGAGAGGCTCAGGCTGGACACCAGGAGGAATTTCATCATGGAAATGGTCATTAAACTGAACAGGCTGCCCAGCGAGGTGGTGGACATCCCCCCTGGAGGTGTCCAAGGAAGGCCTGGATGTGGCACTCAGGGTTCTGGGCTGGTGAAAAGGTGGGGACCAGTCCTAAGTTGGACTTGATGGTCTTGGATGTCTTTTCCAACCTCAGTGATTCTGTGGTCTGTGAAGGCCTTCATCAAGAACCTGCATGAAGGACAGACTGCACACTCAGATTTGCATGGGATCTACACCAAAGGGAGCAGCTGCCACAACCACGAGTTACATTTTTTGAGGTTCAGGTTGGACAACAGGAAATATTTCCTCCCCAGGAGACTGTGGTATGGCACTGGAACACTCTGCCTGGACAGAGCAGGGATTCTCCATCCCCAGAGGTTTACAGGACTTGGCTGGGCTCAGCCATGGCTCACCTGCCCTGGCGACAGCCCCAGCTCATTTGGGATGTGTGCTAGGTGACCTGCAGAGCTTTTCTGCAGACAGCATTTTTATAAGATCTACCTAATTTCACTGGGGCCAGGATCCTTCCAATTTATTTATTTAAATGTAGTTAAAATATTTAAAATGGAAGAAGCACGCTGTACCCAGGAGTCTGCTCATGTTTGTATTCTGAGCCCACTGCAGGACTCCATCAGGGCAACCCAAACCAGAAACTCTTGCTGCAATTGCTCTGTTTTCAGTAATTTTACAAAGCACACTTAACTAACTCTTTAGGGCTTGGACTTCAAGGTTTCATTATTAACCTTATATCAAAGTTCTCTAAACACATGAGAACACTGATCAGAGGCTGTAACCTTCACACAATTTCAGCCTTTCTCCACACACAAGCTCTGCTGTTGCTGTTTCTCATGGTTTGTGTTTCTGATGAGACAGGCCTTGTCCTTCCAGTCTCAATAACATCAACTAAGAGACAAGGGAGAAAGAATGCTTGTGCAAAATTTTAATTCTTGCAATTAAGTTTTCTCCAGCCACTGCCTATGGAAGGGAATAGCTAGCTGGCATGGAAAACCCTGCAATAGTGTAGAAATAGATACCAAGTGCAAATTCTGGATTTTCCAGACCTGTATCATATCAGCATTATGTGAAATATCTCCATAAACATCTAAATATATGACAGGAGGTGAGGCTACTCTAGTAAGCAGCATGGAAATAATAGATTTCCCTCCATTTCCAGTGCATCTTACTGGGAAAAAATGTGTAAAACCCCATGTTAAAACACATGTGAGATAGTGAGAATGATGATACTCCCCAGATTCCCAGCACTCTTAGTATTTTTATCCATATGCTTCAGCTAAAGATAGACACTGCATTTTGGAGATGTTTACCTGAAATAATTAAAACTAGAGAAAGGCAGAAAGGAAAAAAGAAGTGTGATTCAGACAGACAAAGCTTGGCTGTGATTAATGTCAGCTTATGCTAAACACAGCAAATTTAGTGCATGACAAACACCAGAACCACCAAGCTGTATTTTATAAATAACCAGATTCATCAGGGTCTGTCCAGATCACTGATTGATTGAGGCCTGTGGCCAAACTGAACAAGAAATTAGGTTTTCACTAAGTAATTTTGCTTCTGGATGAAATGCCAAGTAACCAATACAATTACCGGCTTTTAATTTTTGTTTTCAAACAAAGGCAAAGCATATTGAAACTTAATTCCTTGCACGTCTATTCAGGTAAGAAATTGGCTGAAATTGGTGTGATTTTGCAAATGATTTTTACCCTGTAATCATCTTCTCTTTTCTCCAGTTCTAATTAGTACTGCTGATGTTCACTCAGAGCTCAGCTGCGCTGCCACCAGTGGGGCTGTTCATGGTGTCAGGCAGGGTTTTGCATCAGGAAATCCAAAATTCCCACCAGGCAACCAACATCCCACTCCCAGGGGATGTCACAGGAGCCCCAGGAGCTGCCTTATCATCCTGTCTTGCATGGAGGAGCCAGAATCCCCCTAATTTCCACCACAGGTGCAGAACAGGTACTTACAGCTCAGGATTGAAGTAGGATGTGACATCAGGATCAGGCACACCTGCTACAGCAAAATTGCTGCTCCCAGTGTAAACCAGAATATTTAACAGTAAAAAAAAAAAGAAAAAAAGAAAAAAAAAAAAAAAAAGAAAAAGAAAAAAGAAAAGAAAGGAGAGGTGATTTGCATATCCAATTAAACAATTAAACAAATTGGGAAAAAAGCATTGCAGTTTTTGTCTAAACTATCTTCAGTTTTAAAATCATGGTGCGCATTGCCCCGAGAAACAAATTTAGTGTCACTTTCGGGAAAGATATGCTGCAGCCCATCCAAAACAGCTGATCCTGCTGAAATGCTTTAAAATAGTCCTGTTCCTGTTCCTGGAAGGGGGAAAACCCACCAAGCCCATATTTGCACAGCAGATGAATTCCTGATCATCTCAATTTTCTTTTTGGCCCAAGCCCACATTTGCACAGCAGATGAGTTCCTGATCATCTCAAATTTCTTTTGGCCCAACCCATGAGTCTTGGCAACCTGTCCAGAACACAGGTTGAATTATGGACTGCTTAAAGCTCTCTTTGTCTTCGAGCTTGTGAGATTTCAAGGTAGGGGCAGAGTGCAGGTGTGGACAGAGATAAGCAGAACCATGAAGCTGCTTCATGGATTGGAAAACACAGGAGCAATGCCCAGTTCATCCTGAGCAGCAGCAACATCCCATAGCCTTTACCACCCTTAAAAATGAGGTTGGCAGATTTATTAACACCATGATTGAAAGGTGGCCTAAGAGGGAGCCACTTGTTTGGTTGATTGGGAAGGTGATTTAGGCTGAAAATTGCCTTAACATGGACAAAATGGGACACCTCCTTTCCCCATCTAGCTAGGTAACCAGGCTGCTCCATCACAGCTGCAGGATGGAAAAGCAGGATCACTTCCTTCAGGGAGACCTGGAGACCACATTAGGTACAGAGACATTAAATGCAAGTTTAAATCAGTCAGAGACTCTACTGCTACCAACAGCACTGGTCACACTTCTCCCCTGCTCTTGGCTGGATGCTTCCCAGGTCTCCCTGGCAAAGCCACAGGGCTGTGATGCAAACCAGATCAGGTTCCTCACCCACAGATACCATGAAAAAATAACAATCTGCCATATCAGCCAGCCACTCCAATGGATATGGTAGGAGCAGATAGATACCAGAGATGGGCGATTCCCTCATTTGGCGACAACGGATTGGTTTAAAACACCTCCCCAGAAAAATATTAAAGAATTAGGAATTTTCCTGTGGGAAGCAGTGAAACATGAAGATTTGGTTGGCCAAGTCTGGTTGGCTTAAGGCCAGCTCAAACCAGCCCCTTTGGTAGTCCCATCACTCCTTAAGATGTGATGTAACTTGGGATCTACAACAGGAGGGGATGTGGGAAGGGCAAGAGAGAATGATCAGGGAAACAAGTTTGGTGTTGACAAAGGAAGTGGAGAAAAAGGGCTGAGGTCAGAAATGAGTGTAAACACCAAGGAGGATAAAGCATTTGAAAACGATGTGCTTGAATTCTTCTCTAATAAGACTGAACATAGACAAAAAGTGTGAGTCAATGTTTAAAAACATCTTTGGTTCGTTCATAGAGGAGAGGGGAGGTGATGGTTACCCTTGTTTCACCCTTTTAATATAGTATGGGACTGAGGAACTCTGAAATTTAAACAAGAACACAAAACCCAACAGTAATTTCTGAGACTCTCTTCTGAACTGCAGGCACACTCTGTCATTGGTATTCCCAGCCCTAATCTTGCAGAAATTTTAAGACTAAAGAGAAACAAACCAACAACCTTAGCCAAGCTGCATCCCAGATTTTAGATTAAGCAAAGACAATACATTAAAATTTATTTTGCAACCACATGAGCTAGACAGAGACATCTAAGAACAAAAGGACATCCACAAGTTCACTTGGCTCCAGCAGCTGAGGCTTTAAAAGAAAATAAGAACCTCTGAGGCTGTGCAATAAAATCCAAAGTTTGCTGCATACTTCATTTCAATGCTGTCAAAAGCCTAACATTTTTTTTCAACTACCTAACAAAGTGCAAACTATTCATTTCTGAATTCATTTCCCCTTCTCTGGCATAGAAATCATATTAAAAATAAACAACGAAGAGTAGCTACAACGTGTGCCTGCATCTATCAGGACTGACAAAATTTGCCTCAAAGGGGTGCTGCAGGGCTTAAATTAATTAGCCTTTCCCAGGTAGTTTGTGATGCTTGAGTAATGGGCACTATAGATCAGCTGCATAAATACATGTAGGTGTTGCCTTAGCCTCAGTGATATGCATGGCACCATACACGGAGGAGGACATGGGGGAGAAAAAAAAAAAAAGCCAACCAAAACGAAACAAAAATCACTAAATATGACACATACAAATGATATTTTACCCCCACACCTTAAATACAATGTTATCGTCACGGAATTCACAAACCATCCAAGGAAAGGGCAGATTTGCTGCCCACAGGACGGAGCAAATGGAGATTTCCAGAAGAAAATGGATATTCCCCCACAAAGAAAGAGGGAAAGCACAAAGCTGGCTAACCGTGCCACTCCAGCCCCCTCGGACACAGCAGTGCTCACATGAGAGATGCTATTGAGGCTGACATTCTCCAGCCACATGTTTGTGCATAATGAGATGCAGGCGGCCGGGGCAGACACTGATTTATTGTAGTCCTCACAATAGCACCAGTGATTAGCAGCTCAATTTGGGGTGGGTATAACTTACTGAGTTCCCTTTCTCTCCTGAATTTTCTTTAGTGCCTTCACATCTCATTAAGAGGCACTTCCATGATTCCCCGGAGATGGTGGGGCAGCTTCAGGCGAGCTCTGGAGAGGAACAGGGTGGCCACTGAAGGAGCCATGGTCCAGGGCTTCCATCCTGTCCTGTCCTACTCAGCCACGGACAGCAGCCCTGCTGCTTCCCTCTGGCTGCCCTGGAAGGTCTGGGACCCTGGCAGGGGTCAGGACCCCCCCTGGACAGAGCCCCCAGAGACACTGGCTGTGATCTCTGGCCATGGAAAAGAGTTTTCAATCTTACAGGATGAATTACCAGCTCTGAGTGTTTGATATCAGTAATAATTAAGTGTGGTACGGGTGCAAAAGTAAAATTTTATGATTCTAGATAAGGGGTCCAAAGGGGACAAGATGGAGGAAATTGGGTGTGTCTTGTCCTTTTTCTCCTTCTTCATGCCCTCCATGTTTCACTGTGGTGTTGGCATTTTTCTGTTGGTTCAGGCTGGGGACACACTGTCCAACGTAGGTGACAGATCTTGGCACATTATTGTAAATCCAGCCCAGGGAGTTTCTGGTATTTAATGTTTGTAACATCCCACTGAGGGCAGAGCCCCACATGCTGTCCTGCAGGACAGAGCTGGGCAGGGCAGCAGAACATGTTAGAGATAAACAGAATAAACAACCTTGAAACCAGCACAGACCAATTATGGCTTCTGCTTTGGCAGCGGGGCTGACAGAGACTTTCTACAATCCTGGAATCATCAATACCACAGATTCTGACACCTGCTGAGAAGGACATGGGGATGCTGATGGGTGAAAGGTTGGACATGTCCTTGGGAATATCAACTTGCAGCCCAGAAAGCCAATTGTGTCCTTGGCTGCATCCAAAGCAGCGTGGGCAGAGGTGAGACGGGGATTTTGTCCCTGTGCTCAGGTGAGATCCCACCTGCAGAGCTGCCCCAACCCTGTCCCAGCCCAGGAGGAGCTGGAGCTGCTGCAGAGAGCCCAGAGGAGGCTCCAGGATGAGCAGAGGGATGGAGCAGCTCTGCTGGCAGGAAAGGCTGGCACAGCTGGGATTGTTCACCTGCACAGGAGAAGCTTTGGGCTGAGCTCAGGGTGGCCTGGCAGGGCCTGGAGGAGCCCCAGGAAAGCTGGAGAGAGACAATTTCCAGGGCATGGAGGGACAGGACACAGGGAATGGCTTCAAACTGCCAGAGTGGGTTTAGATCAGATATTAGCATTAAAACCAATTAAAAACTACTTTCCTTTTGCTTTTGGAAGAAGAAAAGCCTTTTTTTTTTGATTTTTTTTTGTAGTTTATTTTGCGGTATTCCTGTGGCAAGTACATTTCTCTCCCTCTCAGGATTTTTCATAGAGGTGCACAGAGAGAAATGAAAGAGAAAGCAATTTCTATTTCTGCTCCTGGATTTTCCTACGTGGAATGTGTGTGGAGAATTGTTTTCCTGGGGTGATTGTTTGGCTGGATTCTGGTGAGAATTGTTTGAGCCTGATGGCCAATCCAACCCACCTGGGGCTGGACTCCTGGGAGAGGGTCACGAGTTGTGTTAGAGATAGGGTCAGAGAAAGTAGCATGTAGTTTTAATATCCTCCTTTTATATAGTATATTAATGTATTTTAGCATAGTTATAATAAAGAAATCATTCAGCCTTCTGAATTGAGTCAGACATCAGCATTTCTTCCCATTGGGTTCACCTGCATTTACAATAGTTTCCAAGTTCAATTTCAGATTCACACAACAGACACTGAGAGTAAATGCACTAAATTGTTTCTCCTCCCTAAAGGTCACCTTAACCACAGCTGTTGCAAATGAAATCTGCACCTAGTAAAGTACCTGGAGATTATTTTCTGCATTTGTCTGCATTTCCTACATGCAAATAGAGTTGTTATTATTAACAGGAGGCTCATAAAGATCCCTATTTTACAGTAAGCAAGACAGGAACATCCACCTCTGCCATGACAAACTAACAGAGTCTGACACTATCTATATGCCATTAATTTGTGGTTGCAAAAAGAAGCAAATCCAAACTTGTTTACTGGAAGTCATCAGCACTGAAAGCAGAAGCCTCGGAGGTCATGCATTTTACATTTTTTTCTATTCTGAAGGGGTAGAGACACTAAAAATTCCCCAGTCCCAATGATTTCTTTCAACTGGAAGTCAAACACTTTGTCAATACATCCCTTAAACTTTCCAGTGCTTGATTTAGCAGCAGCATCAAATAGCACTTACTGCATGCTACACAGCTTCAATAATTTAACTTACCACTATGTCTTTAATATTTTTAAGCCTTCCATTGCTAAATATTGTTGTATTTTGCTACCAGAAAG